CACACACACACACACACACACAGCTTTGGGATTTCTGGAGCAGCAAACACATTGTGTTTCAAACGTCAAGCCAGAATCCAGCAGCTGCTTCTGTGACTCACCTGGATCCGAGTTCTGGCTGAATCATTAAAAACAAATTTGTCTAATCGAGGAAAAGATGATAAGCAGGTCTTTGGGTCAGACCTGTTTGGCTTAGTACCAGACTATAGGGCTGAAATGATTAATCAAATTAATTGTGATGAATTGATGATTGACATAATCATCAACTAATATGGTAATTGGTTAATTGTCAACAGTAAAAGCCCATTTGCTGAAAGAACAACACAAAACTATACAGCAAAGAGTTTTCCTGTATCTTTTTATAAAGATAAATAAAATAAATAACTTTGTCTGTGAATATATTTTAGCCAGAGCCCCTCAAAGGTCCTTGTTTTAGTGTCACTCGTTTTAACATCTCTCAATCCAAATAAATAATCAACGTATTAACCCTACACTGTGCAGCTTCTGACATGATGATGCCAGAAGCGTACACTTTGTTTATTTGCATCTTTTAACATATTTCTAATATCACATAAAAAAAAAAAAGTTTTAAGTGGTTAAAACACAGAATGTGCACATGAAGCTTGAAACCTCTCACACAATGTGTAATTCATTCATGTTCATTCATATTTCAAGCTTCCCACTGGACCAGAATTATGTGTACAGTGACCTTGTTGTAGTTGGTTGTAGGTATCAGCGTTCACTGTGGCTGAAATCTCACATCAGACTGCACAGAATGTTTTTTGTTTTTTTTTTCCTATAGAGAAGGTGGACAGAGTGACAGAACAGCAACAGGACAAGTGTGGGCGCACATTTCAGTTCAGCCTGGCAGAAGTCAAACTCTCAGTCGGTGTGGCAATTACTGAGAGATTTGACTGGCTGTACAGCTGTTACAGAAAGTGATGTGGACTGGCGTAGCGAGGGGAAACACTCGCAAGTGCTACAACTAACAGCATGCACCGTTGTGTCGATTTTTTTCTGATAATTGCCTTCTGTTAAAGTACTGTGGCTGTGGCTTTTAATTGAAAAGAAACATAAACAGAAGCTCGAACTCCTGTTTGTTCTTTTTTTTTAGTTTGCTTGTAAATTCTGATTTCGGTCCTATTTTTCATCTGGTTTAACCAAACGACCCGGCCGAGACCCGGTTTTTGAGTGGATCCCAGTCTGCTTTCAAACAAAGTCTGGTGCGATTTACTTCTGGTGTGAATACAGACCGGCCTCCATGTAGTTTTGGACTTTATGAGCCACTATTGCCGGGCAGTTGCTAGTGCTACTGCTGATTAAACCAAAGCCGTACCTGATCTGATGTTCTCTGCATGTTGTCTCCTTTTTGCAGCTTCCGTTTTCCTGACAGCGTTGCAAAATTGGAATCAGCGTTGCATGAGCTGCTTGTTACATTCAAAATGATATCACGACATGATAAACACACAATTGTGCACAACAAAGACACCGCAAGTATTTTCTGTCAAATGGGAGCAACGATCGTCACCCACATGGCTGTGTTTTCAACTTATAGGACAAGAAAGCAAAAAATCTCAATGTAAAAGCAGAGAAAAATATAAAGTATGTTTGTGGTCTGAAACAAACAAAGAACCAAAGCGGACTTTCCTGGTGGAAACACATCCTCTAGTGAAATAATTCAGTTTATGCAGAAAGTTTAGAGCTGGAGGGCTGCAGTCCAAACCTCTCACTTTTCTATTTCTATTTCTTTTCTTCTTTTTTTGCGATGTTGGGCTGAAATCAGCAGAAGCAGTTGCATGTTCTGTTAGATTTTTGTTCTGGGATCATGAGACTCAAATAAACAGAAGACTCTCAATCACACAGAAAACACAGTTTTCTGTATGCACAGACAACTGTGTGCACAGTCACAGTTGGGCTTAAAGAGACGGAGGCACTGGGCACCAAAACAAACAGTGGCAGTTCACAGTTTGAGCCGTTAAACCCAAAATAATCTCAGTCTGATATTTCTAATATGAACATACAGCAAACACGATCACGGCTGATAACTGCAGCAGTTAATTCATTCTCATTCAACACTTCCACAGACAACCAAACAAGGATTGTTGTAACTGTAGTTACTGTAAATTCACACTGTTATGATAGCTGTTATGTTTCCCAAAGCCCAGTTCTGACTGTTAGAAATATTGAAAGACGATCCAGTCGGATCCATTTACCGACTCTTGTTCTTCTTTGGTTCTTTAGTCCTTCAGCTACTGGAGGATCTGAATCAGATCTTGAAGCATCCGATGAGGGTTCAGCTACAGCCTGTGATGAATGCGTGTGTATGTGTGTCTTTTTCAACGCGATGATCACTACAGCCTGTGATTATGGCAAAAAATCCTGCGTGTGTTTATCCTGTTCAATAAAACGATTGTCTCCATCTGCTGTGTGTTAGAGACACAGCAGGGTTAATTATTGCTCTGTGTGTGTGTGTGTTTGTTTGTTGTGTGTGTGTTTGTTTGTTGTGTGTGTGTGTGTGTGAAGCCAAGCAGATAATTTTTCTCCTACCAGGTACAAAACAACAACAACAATCCCAGCTTAGACTATTTTATATTTCCTTCTTGGAAAAGTTCCATAAGTCATCACGTTTTTATCTGAGCTGAATCTGCTGTTGAGCGAGAGGAAACCTGCTGCAGCTCTTCTGCAGCAACACAAACAACCAGACCTTAAACCTCTATTGTGGCAGAGAGGTGGAGCTCACCGGCGGTACAACTAAAGCTTCAGTTGCCAGCGCCGAAAGACAGTTCTTCTAAAATTCCCCTAAAAACATCAAACTTGAAGTCTCCCTCTGACTTCCTGTCTTTCTCTTTGATCTGTATTACATTTCACTAATTCATGCTCCTGGACTTAAAAAGCTTCTGTTCTGAAGTTTAATTCCCCTTTTTGAAAGTTTTCCAATGAAATGCTCTTCAGCAGTTCTAGTTGAAACATTATATGAAAGACAAACTTCCTGATTGCCGAGTAGACAAGACCTTCACTCTGTTTACGTTCTGTTCCTTATGCTACATTCTAGTTTTACTAAGAACAACAAAATTCAAACTTTCCAGCTGAAAATAAATGTCTAAAAATCGACCAGAATTCCCAACAGAGTTACATTTCCTAATGGGAAACTGGGACTGCCCCGATATTGAAACTGATTTGTTTTCAATATGGCTGTTTCTCACATCAAGAGTAATTAGATTAGTTGGAAGCATCTCAGTTTTACAAGTAAAAATGTGTCTAAAATCAGTGTTACATGCAGCACCTGTAACTTTAAACTGCAGAAATTAAAAGTGGGGTTTGATTATGGAAAGTAAAGCTTAAGCTGATGTTTTTAAACAAGCAACATCTACGAGCGCCGCCATGTTGGAATTCCGACTTCTTAATTTGAATGTTTTTGTTGGTCTCACATCAAAACCCATATACGACTTCTGGGGTGCGTTAACTCTTCTTCTTACAAATCATTATGATTTAGCATTTCTTAGCTGTGACAACAGTGCCCTCTGGTGGACAAAGAATTGCACACTAAGATTACTGCACCAATGCTAATAATAATTACAAAGATGCTGAAAAGCCCAAATCTAGGAACGGTTTATAAACACATTTATATTCCCATAATCTATTGAGCCATCATTGCTTTACCCTCAAGTTGTCTGCAGTGGGATTGTATAGATTAAAGGTCATACATGTCAACTCACTTGTCCCTCTCTCAGATGGAGCTCCTTCCTTTGGGGGATCCCAAGAAACTAGAGTGGTTTGACAGTCTGGGTCTGTACTGGGATCTTCTCTTTGCGAGCCAACATCTAGAAAGTATCCGTAAGGAAGAATTTTGATCAAATTGATCATGCGGGCTGACTGCTTTTGAAGTGAAGGAGAAACGATTCTGCTCTCCTTGACGGAGCTCCTCTTCTGATCCCTGAGGCAGGATTCAGTCTTCATTAAAGAGGAAATTAATTTCAGCTACTTGTTTCCTGGATGTGGTTCTTCAACTCTTAATCCATATCTCAGGGCCATAGGGGAGGGTTGAAACGCAAATGGGACAGTAATACCCAGAACCTTATTTTCCGGCTCAGCTCTTTCTTGATAATAGATGATAGACCTTGATAGGCTGGCGCAACACCCTCATTGTTGCAAATGGAGCCTTATCCGTCTTTTCATCGCTGGCTCCATCCTGCCATCAGGCAGGAACACCAGGACTCTGCATGAGGCAGAGACTCACCTCTGACCTTCTGCCAGATCTCAGGTCTCAGATTTAATGGAGCACCATGAATGCAGTCAGTTCAAATATTACCAGACAATTATGACTTTCAAGTGACAAAAACACCAAGTTTGGATCAGAATTTCTCTGTCAATTTAACTGCTTCTCCATCTTCCTGTAAGTACGAGTCTTAATCTTCTGTGAGATGTTCTGCTGATCAGTTGGCAGTTTGATTTATTGATTGGGTCCGCTGGTGTTATATGTCAGATAATGTCAAAGGAAATGATTAAACACAAACACACTGCGTCTTAAGGTTACGTCAGTTCCCTGAATATTGCTTAACACACCTTCAGTTCACACAGAGGACCGCATCATGAGGTGTGTTTGTGTTGTCGATTGCCCTGACATTTCTGTTCCCAGCTGTATTCATCCATCTTCATTAGTGTCAGTCGGAAACGCCAGAGTCCAAATGCCAAGCACCCTGTGTCGCACAAAGAAAAGTGACTCACAAATACGAAAAACTCTGGGCTGAGAACATTCTCCCTTAAACGTAACAAGACTTCTGATTGGACATCACCTGTCAGGACCTGTCTACAGCAACCTGCAGCTAATTCTAGTTTTGACTGTAAACTCTCATTGCCTCCTTGCAACTCTTCACGAGAATGAGGAAGCTTCTGCATGCTGACTTGAGACCAACAATTACCAAAGGTCTATATTTCCCGTGATGCGTCTGGACAGACATGTTTGTTTGACGGTGACAGATTCTCTTCTGTGTCTGACCCAGAGGGGAAGGTGGAGGTGACCAAAGAGGGAATGAAGCTGTGCACGATGGGACCGGGGAAAGTTTTCGGAGAGCTGGCCATCCTCTACAACTGCACCCGGACCGCCACGGTCAGAAGTAAGTATGCTGTTGGAGATTAACAGGAACAATAAAAATATATATAAAAAAGAAAACAACCTACTGATCTACGTTTCGATTCTTGCTGCTGTTCTTCTCCAAGAAAATCAGCAGAGAGATCATGTGGAAGAAAAAAGCGCCTGATCAGATCTGCTTAATTCATGTTGTAAAACTCGACCCAAAACAGGGGGAAAATAAACAGGATTGAAAATGGAAGTGATCCCCCGGTGTTGTTTTGTTGTTGCGCTGAAACCAGCTGACAGTCGACTGTTGCTGATCAAATTAGATGTTTGCCTGGGTATCATGACCAACATCTCTGGAGGTTAAACTAAAACAACGTGGGCATTGCTCTGTCCAGCTCTGTAGGCTTAAATTTAAACTTCCAATTAGCAGCGCTGGCCTCAGACTGACTACTGAGTCGGCAGATGGTAGGTTTTCCTGAGCGTTCTTCTGGGATTCGATTGGATTCTCTCTCTGGTATAGGGAGGGAATCCAAAGAAACTGTTTAGAGACTGTGGGTGAGTTGGCAGCATTGAGTTGATGTGACTCTAACCAATGTTTCCGAGTTAAAGAGAGAGAAAAAAAAAACCTAGATATTGCTGCTGGAATCAACTTCCCTGCTGGTGTTTTCTTCACCAACATGGTGCCGGAAGAGTCGGGCATCCAGAGGGAGCTGATCGGAGTTCAGCTGAAGAAACGAATCTGAACACCATCCGACAGCACCGCCGTGTCTAAGTGTGCACGTCCAACTTCCTGTCAGCTCTTCCTGGTGGAACGATCGCTAAGCAGCTGTTGCCAAGCAACACCATCCGGTCCGGCCAACCCGTTTTGGCACCTGTGCGTCTCTTGGCAACAGGGCTGGGTTCTACATGATTTGTTTGCATTTTCAAACGCTTTCTGCTTGTTTCTCACATTGACACAGTGAGCCTGCTGCATTAAATCATTTCTTAATGCGGCTCTCATTTCATTATCAGATCTGATTATGCTTCAAACCTACTGCGCTGACGTAAACCTCGACAAATTACGTGTCTGAGCCTCCGTCTGGTCTCTTCTGGGGTTTTCAAACTTTGCATCTTTTTTGCTTAAATGTAAAACTGGCAGAGATTAAAAGATACCAAGAGCTCTGCTTAGCCCATCAGAGAACACTGAGCAAATTTCCAAATCTTGGCCTGTCGGGTCTTTCTGCATGGAGTTTGCATTTTCTCCCCATGTATGCGTGGGTTCTCTCCAGATACACCAGCTTCCCTCTAAAGTCCAAATCTACATTACTCAGACTGGAAGAAAAGTCAGCTCAGACAGAGAGTTTCCAGAGAAGGAGATGGATCAGCCAACTGGTTTTATTTGCAAGTCATAAAACATTTGGAAACCTTTGTGTGGAGAAAATATGTTGCAGAGATCAACGGTGGTGTTAATTGCTGGAATTGAGATCAGTTTATTACACATCATGTTTCACGTGGCTGCTGCTGCTGCTGAGACTCTGGTGTTTTACAGTGACGTCGCAGAGTGATGCATCACTCTCAGAGATCGTCTTTGTTTGAGCTCAGATGGTTTCTTTCCGTCTTCATTAGGTGTCGCAACTATCAAGACAATGAGCCAAGTCAGAAACAAAACCTCAACAAAACTATGATGGCTCTAAATTGCGCCCATCATGAGTGTCCTTAGGTATGAGTTTGTGTGTCTATGGTTGATTGTTCTGTGTCTGTGTTGTCTTTGTGGGACTGGTCACCTATCCAGGATGAAAAAAAACAACAGCAGCAAAAAAAAAAAAACAACCAAGAATTCACCAGTGTATCCAGGAGCATCATCAGAATCCGACATCCTTCCAAACATCCAGAAGGTTTTAGAAGTTTAAAGAAAAAAGAACATGATCTGAGTTTGATGTTCCTGTTTTCACTTTTTACAACTGTTTCCAGGTTCCAGTTGTAAAGTGTCTTTATTAAAAGCGAAAAATACACTTATGGCTTTCAGAAAATAATTTTGATGTCGATTTGAGCTCTTCCCCAGAAACCTCCTCACTTAGCGCCCACATGTCCGCACAGAGTTTATTTATAACCCAGCAGAGCTTCTCTTCCCTTCACACTCGCTTACATTGCAATAAGCATAGAGACACAGTTTGGGTTCTTACACACAAACGTTGTGCTTTCTGGACCTCCACACACACACACACACACACATGCATGCACGCACACACTCACTTAACCTCTGAATGTGATAATTCAGAGGTTAACCCTGCAGCCTTGAGGCCTCACAGTGACAGGGAAGCAGAAAACCATCCTCACTGCTGTGGCGGATGGAAAAAAATGTGTCGGTGTTTTGTAAAAAAAAGAACTACAGTCTCTCTCACACAAACATCATTAAAGTGCAGGAAGTTTCTGAATTCCTGCATCTCCACAGTAACTGCCTGCAACTTTAGACGGAGGCATTGTAACCATGGTAGCCAGGTCTGTCAGTGGACCTGTTGAGGATTATGGGATGTAACAAGTTTTGGCTCACCTTTCGTGAATTTGTAAGGACTTTCCTTCAGTTCCTAAGCCTGGAGTTGTCTTTACCCCTTGGTTTAACTTGACGTTTTCCTATTTTATTGTCACTCTTTTTCTTTTATTCATCCCATTTCTTTCCTAAATCACTATCAGTTCTTTTGCTCCATTCGCTCCTGTTAAATTTATTCTGTTTTTCGTTTCATCTGTATGGTGTTCCCTCTGTCCTACTTTTCCATCCATCCTCCACGTCTTCCTGTCTTTCCTTCTCTCCTGCCTGTTTCAGTCAGGTTTTGATGTTTCCCTCAGAGAGTTCCGAGATGAAGGACTCGGTGCCACAATCTGAAACTACCACAGATTCCTCACGAGGATGAAGATTCTGCTGTGGTTCAGTCACAGTCATTTCCCGACCCCCTTGTTCTCGGTTCCGGCTGTGCGGGGAATTGAACCCGCATCACAGTGGAGCAGAGCCCTCAGAGAAATATGATCCTCTCTGTCACAGACAGGTGCAAGAGGGTTCGTCTGGTGATTTTGGTTTCATTCAGACCACGGTCTGTAGTTTGATTCTGCAGAGATTGATTCGTTTTTAAGGACTTCGGGCCGACTCATCGTTTGATTCGGGCTCAGATCGGAGAAGGAGACCATCTACACTCAATCAAAGACAATCTCTTATTGTTTTAAAGAGATCGTTTCAGTAGCAAAGATGAAACCGATGTCAGTTTCAGGAATCAACATCAAGTTAAAGTATTCTCTTGTTTGTTTTCCTCCCCAAAGGTTTTCTAGTTATTTTGTCACTTGAAAATAAAACCCATGTTACTCAGTGATGAATTTGGCTTCCTTGTTGCAGCATTTCTGTCTCGGCTGATGTTTCTGACGTAGGTTTGATGAGTTTCGGCATCTCTCAGGCTCAAGATGTCACCAGGAGCCTGAAATATGCCACCATCACCAAAAAAAACAAACAAAAACTAACTGATGTTCACAGACGCGTTAAATAGGTTGAGCGATTTGAAACCAAGGTCCGGTGTTTGTTCGTTGCACAAAAAAGCCCCCTGCTGTTAAGCAGACTAAAATTTGTTACTAAGCAACAACATCAACTCAGCGCTCACAGTAAGGAGCCCAGATCACATTAAACTTTGTCTGTTGGTCACAAACAGAACCTGAACGCCTGATTACACCTGGACTGCAGATATGAACATCTGACACACACACACACACACACACACAGAGGGTGTGGTTTCCATGACGACCTGTGCGTGTTTTGTGCACGCACAACGTGGCACGATGTCAGGTCTCATCTGATGCTAACACACAGTTTGAAGATGAACATAAAGGCCCGCATGCACACAACTCTTAACAGATGCATGCAGAACCAGCAGCTCCGTGTTTCAGCTCGAATTGTGTGTTTCAGCTCTGATCCATGTGAAGCTGTGGGCCATCGACCGGCAGTGCTTTCAGACCATCATGATGAGAACCGGACTCATCAAACACTCCGAGTACATGGACTTCCTGAAGAGGTGATTGCCTTAAGGCATGCATGATCTCATCAACACGCGCACAGATACATTCAGCGGCTGCAGAACCAGCTTAATTCATAAAATTCATTGCTTCGGAAGGAAAAAAGTTCTCCAAAGCAAAACATTCCCTCCGCGCTGATGTGCAGGCTGCTTTAGAAATGTTCTATTTAATATTTATTACATTTTTCAGTGAGCATTCAGAAACCACAAACACCGACTGAAGCAACGCCAACACTTCAAATGCAGAATTTGCGATTGAAGATAAATTAAGAATGGATTTCTTTCTGCGCAGCGTTCCAACTTTCCAGGGTCTTCCAGAGGAAACCCTCAGTAAGCTGGCAGACGTTATGGAGGAGGTCAGTCCGTCATCTAACTCATCGTCTCTCCTTCGTCTGCTGTGAATCGTCCAATCAGACAGTTTGCTCTGTGTCCAGACTCACTATGACGTCGGAGAGTACATAATCCGGCAAGGAGCACGAGGAGACACCTTCTTCATCATCAGCAAGGGGAAGGTTAGTCCCCTCTCCTCTTATTAAATGACTGTGACGTCATCATTTACTTTAAGAAAGCCTTCTGATTGATCACACTTCCTGGTAGGTGAATGTGACTAAGGGGGATTCAGCCAATCAGGAGGCCATTCACCTGAGGGAGCTTGGCAGAGGGGATTGGTTCGGAGAGCGAGCGCTGCAGGGGTAAGACCACTTTGCCCTAGACAACCAATGTCACTCCACCTTTCACCTCCATCAAGTCATCCGAGCATCCTTCCCTACAACGGACCGTTCAAACACCTCCATGTCCGTCTGTCAGCCTGTTGGACGCAACGTCTTATTAAGAGTTTGATGGACAGCTCGCTGTCTGGCTTCATGTCCATGTGCATGAGGCGCTGCACAGTTTTCAGAATATTTTACATACACCTTTTCCATTTTCGTTTTTGAAGTTTGCTTGAGTTTGAAAACAAAGATTTTTGAAGTTGATGAAAAAGTTTGTTGTTGTGATGTAATATTTCGAAAATTGTGATTTGGGGAAAATGTTGAACGTATCTGAATCAGTGGTTATCAGTGGTCAGAGACTCTCCACTGCTCTGAATACAGTTCTCTGCTAGGCTGGTGGTTTAATCCCCAATAATGCTGTGCACATGCATGTGTCTGTGTGTGTTCACAGGGAAGATGTGAGAACAGCCAACGTGATCGCTGTTGAGTCCGTCACCTGCCTGGTTATCGACAGAGAGTGAGTCTTCTCAGTAGCTTCAGAACCAAACAGACCTGGACACAAAGTCTGTCTGCCCTGGGTTCAGATTAGTCTTTTCAAGTTGCTCCTTTAAAGCTGACCAGTTTCTAAACGTTAAGATTTAAACAGTGGAAAAAGCTGGCACATCTTTCTTAAGTTGATACTGCCCTCTGCTGGCCTTCAGGGTAAACGACATATACTAATTGCTTCAAGTAAGTAATAAAACCTGTCTAGATTGTTCTGGAGCTCTGCCCTGTTAGCATGTTTCTGAAATGGACCGAACATCATGTTCATTCTCAGATCATTGAAATTAATATAATTTCTCTCTTTCTCTCTCTCTCTTGCCGCAGCTCATTCAAGCACCTGATTGGTGGGCTGGATGACGTTTCAAATAAAGTCTACGAAGACGCTGAAGCCAAAGCCAAGTACGTCTGTCAGACAATGACAGGTCTACAGCGTTATGGGGAAGTTTTCACTCTGCTTTCAGCTGAGCTTTCTAAAAAAAAAAAAAACTTGATGAAGCAACACGTTTTATTTACAGCTCCATTACCACACCAGAAACCTCTCTCCCGAAACAACCCTCTTGTGTTTGGTGTGAAGATGATCCCCTCATTAAACTGTCTCCGACTGTGCATTCATCCCTAATCGTGGCGCTCATTTGAGCTTTCATAAGTGAAGTGGGCATTGAGAACCCAGAGGAGGCAAAGAGTGGAACCCCGGGGGGTTGTTACAGAGCGATACATATAAAATTAGCATTGAATCCATTCTGCTCTAAAGAGTAAAACATGTCAATAATGCGTCCCCTACATCAAAAACACATCTCTAATACTGTTATTAATAACAACCCAGATCTGCTGGGCAAATTAACAACAATTTGCATCTTTTTTCACCTTAAATTCTTCAACCACTTCATCACTCAGGGCCTTTTGAAGGGTCGACCGTTGTGTGTGTGTCTCTGCTACCTAAACAACAGGAAAGAAAACAATAAAAAACAACATCGAGACTTTCCCTTAAAAAATAGATCCAGAACAACAGGTGGATTTGTTTTTGTTTTTTTGTATTCAGAAGGCTTGATTATTGTTTTGGCGTGTTTACTGAACTCTATAAAAATGATTGTTAGAGTTCTGACCAACATCAGAATCAATGAACATATCCAAACATACCTTTAATATCTACTTTGACCCCATTTTTGGAAAATAAAACTGTACTTCATGCCGGTTTTGAATTAGATAGCGTCTGCTTATTTTTTCAGGCACAGCTAAATATTTAGAGAGCCTTCATCTCAATCAATCTGTACAGCAGTTGGGATATAACTCAGTCTGACTTCTACCAGGTGGCGAAAGGACAGCTATCAGAGGCGTTTTGTGGAGCGAGGACACTCATCCAATCAGGGTTCAGCTGCTGCTGTAAACAAGTAGATTCTGCATGAACGGTCAGGAGTCAACTGACTGCCAGTCATGTGACACTGTGCAGCCGGACGCTCTCGTGTTTCCTCTTATGGTATAGAGTCGATATGGCACACACTCGCACACCGGGCTGCTCGACTGTTATTCACAGCTGTCGTCGTGGCAACGGTAAACAGCGTGTGCAACCTGAGTGTGTGTTTGCCCTTCTGGTGCTCTGCTCTGAGCTGAACTCTGCTCCATACAGAAACCTGAATTTGGTTTGGGTTACTTCTGTTGACCCGAGCTGACGGAGAGACCCGCAGACATGAAGGGAGAGTTTGTGTTCATCTTTAGCGGGATTTGTTTGTGGTGTTAAAAATATCTCCTAACTGCAGAAAAAAGTGTTCAATATGACAATATGGCCAATTTATATGAAAGTTTTTTTTTTTTCTGCAAACAATTTCACTCGGAGCTTGATAAGAACATGAAAAGGATAAAGCTACAGAAACGATGCTAAATCTCCTTGTGCTGTGTTTTGATATAGAATCTCTTCCCTTTGCTTAAGCGTTTTGAAGTTGCTTGTTTGATTTATCCCTGTGTGTCCTTCGTGTGCCGTGAAGTCCAAATCCCTTTCTTACCGCCACCAACTAATTTTAGACTGTTCAAGTAGCAGCTACTGTTTCTGCAGAAACGCGAATCCAGTGCTTGCAGGAAGTAATCTGGAGCTGCATGTAGAACTAAAGAGGCTTCAGTCTGTTGGTCCAGACATGAAAATATAGGAAACGTTCTCAAAAGATATATGATATATGATTATTCTATTAGTCTCTTATAGAATAAGAGGTCCCAGCACGCTGTTTACATTAGTTTCAGGTTTGAACCCCGTGTTTCTCAATACCAGGCCTGAGGGATCACTGCCTGCGTGTTTCAGGTCCTTCCCTTTTGCCACACACCTGGTTGAATAAGTAGGTCACTAACAGGCTTCTGCACCACTTAATGGCATGCAGTCATTTAATCAGGTGTTCTAAAACAGAGACACATCTAACATACAAAGGGCTGTAGTCCCCGAGGACTGAACTGAGAAACTGGACTAGACCGTTGCAATATGTTGTTTCTGTTCTTGTTTATCTATTCTGCAGTTGTTGCTGTATTTGGGATCATTGTCCGAGTTTGGGCAAGCTTCACGTTTCAGACAGACAGCCTCACATTTGACTCTAGAGTTGTTTGGTTGTGGTTCTTGGTCAATTCAAAGATAGGAACACTTAGAAAAAAGCCCATTCATTACACCTCAACCATCACTATCAAGGTTTTCTTTCAATGTGGTTCTATGCGTTGTGACCAAACTTCTCTACTTTTGATCTCATCTGCCCAAAGGTCGTTGTACCTTGAGTCTTGCTTCACAGTAAATGATCTTACTAAGTAATTTTATACAAGTTTTAGTCTTTCCCTGATTGTTCTGTCATAAATTTCAACAATTAAAATGCTGACAAAGTGATCCACTCTGTAATCCACAAAGTGTGCTGGAATGTCAACTTGACAGAAAATGTAAAGACTCTTCTTTTTATTTTATTCTGAACAATTCATATGCTGTTGGTTGTTAGCAGCCAGATCATAGGATCTGTTGAGAACCAGGTGACCTGATTCCTGGCGGTGGCTGGATACGATTCAGATATAGAACTTTGGCTTAAACCCTTTTTGACCCTCATGTGCAAAGAGATTAGAGCTGCCATTGTGGCAAAATATTTTTTGTTGTTTGTCAGCTCACAGTGAGTTATTCTGGGAAGACATGGCGATGCTGGAACATAACGCTACAGTTATTGGCCTGGTTAAGTCGGAGTCTGGAGGACGAACAGTCCTCAGTTATGTCAGGTGTATAACACCTGTGCTGCATGCAAACATAAAAGAACCTCATTCACACTGAAGGCAGGAACGAACACAACTCCACAGCTGATCCATGGATATGGAAACGCTCATCTAGGTGTGAGGGCCTCTGATAATCCCTGAAGAAGAAACCTGGGTGTCCTCTAGATTTCAGTTTGGGACAGTCTGTGCTGCAGCCTCCTCAATAACTGACACTCCTCAATATCTGACCTTCCTTTAGCGGGTGAACCTCTGAGCAATGTTTCCGCCTCCTAAAAATACCCGTTAGCAGCAGCAACTCCCACCAGTCAGGTCGTCTTGTCAGTAGCTGTTCCAGCCTGGAGGATCCAGCCGCTGCAGACCTGAGGCTCATTTGACCAAAAGGACAAACCTCTTAGAACCTTTCCTCAGTCAGGGTTATAGTCCTTAAAGCGTCCTCGGTTTAACTGCTCTGCTTCAGACCTTCTCGTTCTCTTCGTATCAGTCAGAGAAACAAAAAAGTGATTTCTTGGAGGTGATGCTGTTCTCAGACGCTCCTGGATTCTGACAGCAGTTCCTTCACTTCCGGACCAGCCTCTTTCTCTATCTTGATGCACAAACCTCTGGAGGACCCGGCAACCTCACCGCCACGCCGGTACCTCCACAGCAGAGCCCTGCTGATCCACTGCTGCCATCGGTACTATTCACACCATGTAAACTGGACGTGGAGCTCATCGTTTGAGACGGCTCTGCTGCAGACGCTCTGCCGAACATTCTCGTGAGGTTCCAGAGTTTGCTCCACTTTTGTCTTTGCATTTTTACATAAAAACATATTTTTTTCGTAGAGTAACGACTGAAACTGAAAGTTCCATTCATAAATATTCATCGACCGATTAAAGGCGGATTTACCCTCTCGGGTCAGGAAGAATATTTTATTCCTTATTCTGACCTTATTCTAAATAGTTTCGGAGATGAGAGAGTTGCTTCCCGTCCCAGCGAGGCGGCAGCGGGAACGTCTCCCCAGTCTTCCTTCCACCCCCTCTCACTCCTTCCCCATCACTTCCTTCTCCATCCACACTTCCAAGAAGTTTCCATTTTTTCGCGTGGTGAAATGCTGCAGGTAGGACAGCAGGGTCTTTGATTAACCGGACAGGTTTTATCCACATGTATTCTCCATCACAATGAGCCTTTTCTTAAAAAAGACATTCCCACATGATTGTGTGTTTATCTTTCAGGTACGAAGCAGAGAATGCCTTCTTCTCCAGTCTAAAGCTCAATGACTTCAACATCATTGATACTCTGGGAGTTGGAGGCTTTGGAAGAGTTGAGCTGGTACATCTTGATGTCTATGTGTTTTTTCTAGTTAATGCCAGTGATTCTCAGGAGCTCAGAAGTGTTTATGGCCTTAATTAAATATGTTGAGAGGTCAACATCCATCCATTGACCCATTGGCTATACCTGATTGTCCTTGCTCATTGTACATCCTGGATAGATCGCCAGTTAAGAGGTCAGTGTTCTAACAGAATAATGAACCAGAAACTATCTGTTCTACGCCAGTTTCTGAACAGTGATGAGTAAGTTTCAGACATGCTTCAAGGATAAGGAACCAGTTTAGACTTTGATACAAATTTTGGACCATTTAATTATTTGTTGAGTCATTTTCAATTTAGACATAAGATGAACTGTTCCTATGTCACTGTGTGATATTTGCGCTGTTTCTAGCAAAGTGTCAGCATCTGTAACTGGAAACCAGTCCAAATGTGGTTGAGTGGTCATACACCTGCAGTCCTGGACCAAAACAGGCTTAGGGATGTTCTGGGTTGGGTTGAGGGAAGCAGAGAGGATGGAGGGATGAGGCATTTGACGCACTGGGCTCTCAAGGTGTTAGGTTTCTCTCGGACGGGAGGCGGGGTTTGAGGTGACTGTTGGTTAAAGGGAAAGCCCTACTGCGGGTTTGCCCAAAAACAGATTAGATTCCAGGCTTGGGGGGGAGGGCTGGGTCCTCCTGAAGTATTTTTAATCATCCAGAGTGTAAGAAGGTGAACTCTGACCTCCAGACTGCCTGTCTGACCCAAATGGATTGCTAATGACATCACCGTAACTGAAAATCTGACTCTGCAGGTTCCCTTACTCCCTTTGCATCAGCATGGCCTTAAATCTTCAAGAAATGTTTCTATTTTGAGCTCTTCTCTGCCATCACAATATATATATTTTTTTTAGATATAAACAATAATAAATAATAAAAGACATTTTATACAACTAGTCAAAACACCTTTCTTTCTAATTAAAAAAAAAAATTATTTAATTTCCAACATGTCAGTAAAACCAAAGTAAAGTGCATAGTTGGAGTTGTCTTTGCAGGGAACCTCTGAGTGGAAACCCGGCTCCAGTTTCCAGAGTTTTTCCGTTGGTGCTAGCATGATAGGGGCGTCACGGGTTGGGGTCAGAGCTCAGATATCCTGAAGTGGAGAATCCGTCCAGGAATAGGAATAGATTGTGTCATGACCTACAAGAAGCACAGTGCAGTCTTAACAGCATTAACACTCCTCAGTAGAACCTGACACCCCAGAAGCACATTTCCTGAGTTTTTAACTTCATAACACTTATAAAGTTTCTAAAATAAACGGCAGTATAATCTAAAAGAATAATAATAATGATAATAAAAAAAGCAGGCCACATTCAACCAGAAGCAAAAATCAGAGAAGAACCACATGCAGGGAAAGTAAATAGATGTCATTATCGCTTATTGCACAAAGCGGGGTAAAAAACCCCCACAACTCTCTGCAGGTTGCCAATTGTACTGTGATGCCACATAGCAAATATTTTGTAGTAATTGATCTTTCTTGCCCTGCTGCGTATACTGTCTTTATGTAGGTGCAGCTGAAGAACGAGGAGGCTAAAACATTCGCCATGAAGATTCTCAAGAAGCGTCACATCGTGGACACGAGGCAGCAGGAGCACATCCGTGCAGAGAAACATATCATGACCGACGCACACTCAGACTTCATTGTCAGGTCAGAAAACTGCGTTTTTATGATTTGTAAAATAATTCATGTAAAAAAGACAAAAGTAAAGCACACTGGTTTCGGCTTTAAAAAACTTGACATGACTACGTTTATTTGTCCTGATGTAAATAAAGTTGCAGACATGTCAGGTTCTCTCTGTGACTCTATTCTTGGTGTTCAGGTTGTACCGGACGTTTAAAGACAGTAAATATTTATACATGCTGTTGGAGGCATGTCTGGGTGGAGAGCTGTGGACCATCCTGAGAGACAGGTACGCTGCTCACCAAGATGATACCTGAGTGACTAAAGATTTCTTTAACTTCACTGTCATCACAATTATTACTCACTAATTAAAATAAATTATTTAATACGTTTGTACTTCTTGAGCATAAGATCATTCACTTATTTATGTCGAGAAAATGTTCTCTAATGCTTTTGTAATGTCACATGGTGCATAATTATTATTTGAGAGCGCATTAGATTGATCTTTAGTATTGATATCGGTGTTAGATTAGTTCAGCTTATTTACAATTACTCTATGAATTACAGAGCAAATGCGGGAAAAATAATTAAAAAATTTGTTTTGTCTTTTTTTTGGATAATATTACAATTTATAGTGAAAATGTATATTTAAAATCCATGAATACTTGAGAATGTCTCTAAATGTCTAGAAGTGCCTGTTGTAATGATTCAAACACCACAAATACCTTAATATAAAGTAATAAGCACAGTAGAAGCTATCTTGTTGCTACCACAGAAGCTAATAGTCTATTTTACCTCTGCCACAGGGAGTACAACCAATCAGCAGAAAAAATAAATACAATTATGTGTGTATTCAGGGTGCTATATATATAATATATATATATATATAATTATATATATATATATTATATATATATATATATATATATATAATAGCACCCCCTGGTGCTATATATATATATATATATATATATATATATATATATATATATATATATATATATATATATATATATATATATATGTATATATATATATATATATATATATATATATATATATATATATATATATATAAGCTGACTGGATAGCTCAATACATAAGGCATCAGTATATCACCCGAGAGGGCAGGGTTCGAATCCAGTCTGGGTCCTTAGGCAAGACCCTTCAAGCTACTGCCTACCTCATACCATGAGAGATACTAAGTTGCATAACATGCCGGCTCAGACGTCGCCCGGCCAAACAAGGTCTGCGTCAGGTGTTGGGGAACCAGAGCACCTTGATGACAAATGGGCTACTGGAACAAGACGGAAATGGGCGAGAGATGAAAATGTGGATCTGTTGGAATGCTACTACTCAAGTAACCCTAGTGAGAGAGGTTACATGCAAAGACTGGGGAAGGAATGGTTACTTCGACATCCCCAGTCAACACTAAGCGCTAAACAACTAGTAGCTCAGTGTTCCAACATCCGCAAACGGCAACTGCTATCACAACTTGAGATTGACGAGATACAACACAAATGCTACGGCAAAAGGGAGGAACCCGGATGTCAGGACTGTGGGGACTTAACTACAAGTCCCCACCCAGTGAGGGGATACACGGCCCCAATGAGCGAAACAGAGCTGAACGAGACAGCTGCTGACCTGAGAGAGAGAATCATGACCCGAATGACAACCAGGCCTCCCCGGCGCCAATTACAACGGCTGAGTGAAGTACCATCTGAAAGTCTCATTGAGAATGTGAATGCAGCATTGAGAACGATCCCTACCAACACCATAACAGAAACCAATGAGCTGATCTACAACTCAGCATCAGTGATCCTTGAGATACTTGGCTATAAGAGCAACCATGAGACCCAATACCCACCATGGAAAAGACGGTTAGAGGCTAAAATCAAGGTAACAAGGAGGGAAGTGAGCCAACTGTCAGAGCTCCACAAGGGTGCAATGAAAAGACCAGTACCCAGAAAGTACAGGCAGATGCCCATACCTGAAGCACTCGAGACTGCCAAACAGAGGCTCCAAGCCTTGTCCAGCCGCCTAAAGAGATACACAAGGGAGAATGAATCCAGAAGGATTAACCGGCTCTTCTCCACTCAACCAGCTAAGGTGTACTCTCAATGGCAGGGTAATAACAACAGAGCAGACCCACCAAGGCTGGAGACTGAACAATACTGGAAAGGCATATGGAAAGGGAGGCGTCCCACAACAGCAATGCACAGTGGCTGATCTCTCTACGAGAGGACCACAGCAACCTCCCTGAGCAAGCCCCGGTAACCATCACTGTGACAGATGTTCAAGAAAGAGTCTCAGGTATGAAAAACTGGACAGCACCAGGGCCTGACATGATCCATGCCTACTGGCTAAAGAAACTCACTGCTCTCCATGAGCGAATGGCAGCCCAAATGAACCAGCTGCTACAAAGTGGGACTCACCCTGAATGGTTAACTGAAGGGCGGACAATCCTAATCCAGAAGGATCCATCAAAGGGTCCAGTCCCACCCAACTACCGACCAATAACCTGCCTCTCCACAACCTGGAAGCTCATGTCAGGCATCATAGCGGCCAAGATAAGCAAACACATGGATAAACACATGAGCACGGCACAGAAGGGTATCGGTGTAAATAGCAGAGGAGCCAAACACCAACTCCTCGTAGACCGCACAGTTGCCCGAGACTGCAAAACCCGACACACCAACCTGTGCATGGCTTGGATTGATTACAAGAAAGCCTATGACTCAATGCCGCATACTTGGATCATTGAATGCTTAGAGATGTATAACATCAACAGGACTCTGAGAGCCTTCATTGCAAACTCGATGAGGCTGTGGAAAACCACCCTTGAAGCCAACTGCAAACCACTTGCACAAGTGTCCATCAAATGTGGAATATACCAAGGAGATGCTCTGTCCCCGCTACTGTTCTGCATAGGCCTGAACCCCCTCAGCCAAGTTATCAACAAGACTGGCTACGGATACAGACTCAAAAATGGGGCCAACATCAGTCACCTACTCTACATGGATGACATCAAGCTGTACGCCAAGTGTGAGCGAGACATCGACTCACTGATCCACACCACCAGGATCTACAGCACTGACATTGGGATGTCATTCGGACTAGAGAAATGTGGTCGGCTGGTCACAAAGAGGGGGAAGGTCATCCACACAGAAGGGGTCTCACTCCCAGAAGGAACAATAGCAGACATAGAGGACAGTTACAAGTACCTAGGTATACCACAAGCAAATGGCAACCTCGATGAGGTCACAAGGAAAGGAGCCACAGCTAAATACCTCCAACGAATAAGGCAAGTCCTGAGAAGCCAGCTCAATGGCAAGAACAAAATCTGTGCGATAAACAGCTATGCCTTGCCAGTAATCAGATACCCTGCTGGAATAATTAGCTGGCCAAAGGAGGAGATAAAAGCACAGATATTAAGACCAGAAAGCTACTAACAATGCATGGAGGGTTCCATCCCAAATCCAGCACCCTGAGACTGTACACGAGCCGCAAGGAAGGAGGCAGAGGACTAGTGAGTGTGAGAACCACTGTCCAGGACGAAACAACTAAGATCCATAAATACATCAGGGACAAAGCCTCAACAGACAATGTGCTCAGTGAATGTCTCAGACAACAGGAAACGGAGGTTGAGGTGCCAGAGATACCATCATGGGAGGACAAGCCCCTACATGGGATGTACCACCAGCAAATAACCCAAGTGGCTGATATCAGTAAATCCTACCAATGGCTGGAAAAAGCTGGACTCAAGGACAGCACAGAGGCCCTCATCCTGGCAGCCCAGGAACAGGCCCTAAATACCAGAGCAATAGAGGCCCAGATCTACCACACCAGACAAGACCCAAGGTGTAGGTTGTGCAAGGAGGCCCCTGAGACAGTCCAGCACATCACAGCAGGGTGCAAGATACTGGCAGGAAAGCGTACATGGAGCGACATAACCAAGTGGCAGGCATAGTCTACAGAAACATCTGTGCAGAATATGGACTGGAAACCCCAAGATCAAAGTGGGAAACACCCCCAAAGGTGGTGGAGAACATCAGAGCTAAGATCCTGTGGGACTTCCAGATCCAGACAGACAAAATGGTAATGGCGAACCAACCAGACATTGTCGTAGTGGATAACATCAGAGGAAAGCCGTTGTGGTAGATGTAGCAATACCAAGTGATTGCAACATCAGGAAAAGGAGCACGAGAAACTAGAGAAATACCAGGGCCTCAGGAAGAACTGGAGAGGGCCTGGAAGGTGAAGACCACAGTGGTGCCTGTGGTCATCGGGGCCCTCGGGGCAGTAACCCCCAAACTGGAGCAGTGGCTACAACAGATCCCAGGAAAAACATCAGACATCTCAGTCCAGAAATGTGCAGTCCTTGGCACAGCCAAGATACTGCGCAGAACCCTCAAGCTCCAGGCCTCTGGTAGAGGACCCGAGCTCAGAGGATAAGAACCACCCGCGGTGGGTGAGAAGGGAATTTTTTTTTTTTTTTTTTTTTTTTTATAATAATAATAGCACCCCTGAAATAGGCGTTTTTTCAGCAAATAATTTGGAGTAATGTTCCACAAAAAAAAAAAAAATCCACAAATATTTGAATTCAGAAGTTCTGAACCACAAATAGGCAGGATCTACTGAAACAAAATTATTACAAATGTCATTAACTTATTTGAACTTTGAAGAAACAGAACAAGACATATTCTTCACATATTGGGTCTTTATTATGCAATCTTATAATTATGTTTGTATTTTAAATTAACCTTTGAATGTGTTTGACGAAGAATTTGATTGGTATAAAAATGTCTCCAAATTCCAAACACATTCATAATTTTCTGTATCTCTGTTGGTTGCAGAGGTTCGTTTGATGACTCCACCACTAGGTTCTACACTGGCTGCGTGGTTGAAGCATTTGCTTACTTGCATGCTAAAGGCATCATCTACAGGGACCTGAAACCTGAGAACCTGATCCTGGACAGCCGAGGATATGCTAAGCTGGTACGTCCACCAGGTTCTGCCTGTGACTCATGTTCAAAAAGCTCTGACCGCTTTTGGCGAATTAGCTGGATCTGTGAATCTAAATCTTTGTGTCCCAAGAAACTCCAATCATGTGACTACTGTTGCAGGAAACAAAATTACTATCCGCTTCCTTTGAATGAACTCCATGATAGTGTTCAACAAAAGAAAATAAAAAGCACTGTCTTTTTACAGGTGGATTTTGGTTTCGCAAAGAAGATTGGATTCTGTAAGAAAACATGGACGTTCTGTGGGACGCCGGAATACGTTGCTCCAGAGATCATTTTGAATAAGGGTCACGACGTGTCGGCCGACTACTGGTCTCTGGGGATCCTGATGTATGAGCTGCTGACAGGCAGGTAGGGATTCCTACACCCGACGTCGTTAAAATATGAAATGACCAGTTCGGAGTCCGACGGTGTCTGTTTGCGTCTGCAGTCCTCCGTTCTCAGGTCCAGATCCAATGAAAACGTACAACGTCATACTGAGAGGCATCGACATGATTGAGTTCCCCAAGAAGATCACCAAGAATGCTGCCAATCTCATCAAGAAGCTCTGCAGGTAGCATGGACTGTTTTCTAAAGCATAATTAACTAACTCCTACTCCAAATCAACTATTTAGTCATGTCTTCCTTGTGTCTGCAGGGATAGTCCATCGGAGAGACTAGGAAATCTGAAAAATGGAGTGAAGGACATCCAGAAGCACAAGTAAGAGAGCTAAATATTTTGTAAGTGAGCAAAACATTTGCTTTTGATTTTTTGGAAATTAATTGAATGTTTGTGTGTTCAGGTGGTTTGAAGGATTCAACTGGGAAGGACTGAAGAAAGGAACACTAACTCCACCCATTACACCCAAGGTAGGTTAGGATGAAATCAATATCCACTTGGGTTGAAATCTTGATGTTCCGAATGAGCCTGTGTTTTTGGGAACTATTTTTTTCCTGGTCTTGAGTCGTACTTTTGTTTCCAGGTGTCCTCTCCAATAGACACCAGTAACTTTGACAGTTTTCCAGAAGATACAGACGAGCCGCCGCCCGATGACACCTCAGGATGGGATTATGACTTCTAAACTGAGTCTGCATCTTTTGAGACGGTGTTAAAAGTGAAGACCCTCCAGGTGAAGAAGCCAACTATGGCGGGTTTGTGCTCAATATGAACTGGGGGCCAAGTGTAGTCAGAAGCACATGGAGACAGGTTCTCTGGAAGATCGAAGTGATGCAGCGGATCAGCTCTGTTCATTCAAGAAGAGTTGAACGACGAAGCAGCTCAGTGTCCAGAGCCGGGGGTTAGCCTCCCAGGGTTTTACTTTTTTGATTCGCTTCTGGTTCTGGGAAGTCACTGGACATGATGAACAGTTGAGCCAAATAGACGGCTGCTGAAATTATCTCGAAATCTGAGTTGTCGTTTAGGCTGCAGAGGAACTGTGAGAAAGTTCTTTCATCACATGGACCATAGAGGGCTTCTATGAACCCACTTTGTTAGTGCAAATTAAGAGAACCGCTGCAAATTTAGTGATTCTTGAGTTTGTGTCAAAAAGTGCCGATTCCTAGCATCTCTTTCAGCTTTTAAAAATCCCACCAGAAAGCTAGAATCACCGTCTGTTTCCTCTGAAATGTGAAAGATGTTATTCACATTAAATCTTCTCATCTGGAGATCTTTTTCCCTTCTAAATTCTTTATCAACAAGGTTGGGGTTATAAACGAGGCTTAGCTTGCTTTTCCTGGGAGGTGTAATTAGTTTAATTGAGCAACTCTAATAAATAACCAAATAAATGTTTTGAACACTGACATATTTTATTATTTTAATATTATTTTGTGATTAAATTGCATTACTTTATCTATAATTGACATATTAAATTCAATAAATTGGAATTAAACATTCAGATTCAGAACATAGAATTTCTTACTCCCTAGAATTAGAAAAAATAATGAGCATTACTCAATCCAAGTAGAAAAGAAGTCAGATAAGCTGTACTCTTTATTGATGAGTTAAGCATTTTTGTTTTTCTCTATGTATGGCAAAAACTGACTGATCAGATCTGATTTCACATCAGTTACAAGAGAGTGAAAATAACAAAAAATTATTATAATAATGAAATGATTATGTGAAACTGTTCTTACAAAAACTCCTTTCTTCATCATTGAAAGGTAGCTGAATGGAGATCAGAATGGTTTTTTCTAGGCTCTGACACTTAAACTTGGTGCATCACGTGATTTTAATAGAATTCTGAAATGTGTTTATTATTAACCTGCCAAAGTACAACACTGCCCAAAGTCTCTGAGCCTGTTTGTGCATTAACAAAACGTAGCTGAACAGTGAGTCCACATTCAGCTCTCTAACTGAGGGCCAGTTTATATACGATGCCTATAGTGGCAGGAATAACTTCCTTACAGCCACCTTGATGCCTTCAGTCAAAACTTCCTTTCTAAAGAGTAAAGAAATTTGAGGATGCAGTACAGGTTTCTGCATTGAGACTTCTCTCTTTGCTGGTTTTTTACACAATGAATCTTTGAGTTGCAGCATGAAACTTATATTAGGTGTCTTGAGTATTCCAACATAACATGCAGTTCCACGTCTCTCTTCCTGTTCCGGTGGTTGTTTGGGAGGTATGCATGGTCAGTACATGTGTAAAATAGTTTGAAGCAATCTCTTTTGAGAATGCTTGCTCCTGTGGCAGTATCAATAATTTGAATCTTGCTCGTTCTGAAATCTACAGAATTTGACAAGCAGTCCTGTATGCATCACTCTTTACTCAGACAATTCCAGAAAGGAAGTCTAATGTCACACAAAGATCTCCTGTTTGTGAACAAATCTCTAAAATGTCCATGCTGCGCTTGAGATTATCTTACTATTAAAGAAAGAAAACCACAGGTTGGTTTCAAGCATTTCAGATGAATTACAGTTTTTGCTACCATCTGGTGGGTAAATGTTGCTATTGTAGATCTTTAATGTGCTGAGAAAACTTTAAAATCAGTTTTTTTTGCCCGTTGTGCCTCAATGTGATGTGTGGATTATGTGACAGCAACCAGCCCTCTCACTTCAAACTGAAATGAACTAACTCTTGGAATCCTTCTTCCATTCTGTAGACACTTTAATCTACTTAGTTGGCTGTAGTTTTCACTTTGTGCCACTAGATATCCTTGTTTACAACGCTGTACCTTTAACTCGTATTGCTTCCTTACACAACTCAAGATTTCTCCTGCAGATTGAAATGAACTCTCTGAAATTGATCACAAATGATGATAGGTTTGCTCTCTCTCTCTTTCTCTGTCTGATCAACTAGTTCCTAATTCATCCACTAAATAAACTCTACAGTTTTTTTTTTTTTTAAAGGAAGTCAACAATCCCACTTCAAATGAGACGAGGACTGAAAGTCAACTTTCTTCATTAAGCCTGAGATCATGGTTGAAAAATCTGTGGCTACAGCAAAATAAGCGATTACGTGCAGGAGCTTTGCATGCTAACAAAGTTTATTTGAAATAGTTTCAACAATTGTGCAATTTTGATGTTCCGTTCCTCAATTGAGGATATCTGATCTCTGTATTTTGTGCTGTTTTTAAGAGTGAACACTGTATGTATTTTGTATGAAGCTTTTGTATCATCAGTCAGACTTTAACTGCAATATTTTTGTAAATCAAACGCGGCGTGACGTCTCTGCATGATGACAGTGGTAACGGTGCGTGGTTTGCAACACCAGAGGACGTGGTAGAGGTCATCAGTACAATCAAAATGTTGCGACTTTTATTTTTTCATAAAAGTCAACT